ATGACGACTGGGCGTTTCCCGCCTAAATATGAAAACAGTACGCCATTTTTAAGTGACAATTTTGAAAAAAAAGATAACCATAAAAAAAAACATAGGTGCAAACTAAAAGACTTACTTTAACTACTGCAATACTAAATATATATATATATATATATATATTGAGTTTCACCAAGTCCAAGGCCCGGGAGCCACTCGAGATAGAGAACTACAATAAGTGGTAGTTTATATGGAGAGAAAGGAAAGATAAAGGTTGACTCCGAACTTGAGCAGGTTAGTGATCGGGAGTCTCTTCCATAGAGCAGTGGTTCGCAGGAAGAAGCTGTTCGAGCGGAACTTACTTTTCGCCGAGGGAATACAGAGGAAATATGGGTGTTTTCTACTATGTAAGTGGCATGGCGGGTCCTAGCCGTAAAGGTTAGACCTGGCCTAACCAAGGAATGGAGTTAGTTCGAGCACTTTCCATAGAAGTAGTGATAGAGCAGTGAGAGACTCGCCACATGCCGCCTCTGAGAGAAAGGTTGAAGGGATTTATCTATATATCCTTATTTCATCCGTTCAGCAATTGTTTTTAATCATTTCACCCCAAGCAAGGAGGTTACAGGGAGTGAAACTGACAGAAAAGACTGAGTATAGGGAGGATTGAGGAAAGTACAAAAGATGGACGGGATTCAAGACAGAAGATGGCGATTGACGTTGCCTTTAAATTTTTGAAGATTGTAATTATCACGGAAGCATGTAAATGGAAATGAGTTCCATTAACAGGAAGTTCAATAAAAGAAAATGTTAGAATAGAAGTGGTGGTTGCATTTAGCTATTTCGACAGTAAATAGATGGGACCTAGGTGCCAATCTAGTAGCACGCTTAAATTCATGTAGTCGGGGCATCAGGGATAAAAGCTTGTCGGAGCAGTTGCCATGAAAATATTTGTAGAAAAGACAGAGAGAAGCCATGCCACGTCGATGAGAAAGTGACTGAAGTTGAGATGCCAGCTCAGGATCAATTAAATTACAGATCCTTATTTGGATTTTGTCAAGAACCTTGAGATAAATAGCAGGAGTACCTGATCAGATATGACAGCAATTTCCAATGAATGGATGAATGGTATTTTATGCATAAATAATATTATGACAAAAATGTTCACTCAATTTACATTTGGGATATGAGATTACTTTCTGAAATATAAGTAAATGTTTATTAATATTTCTCTGTCAAAGAGAATGTATAATACACACATATGCACTAACAAGTTTTTTGTAGGCATGAAAGTTAAAGTTTGCCAACATTTTTATTTACTAATACGTATGAAAAGTAAAATAGTATCAAATGCTAAAAATGATGAATGGTTTTTGGTGTAATAATTAGCATACTAAAATTAGTTCACATCATTTTTCCAGAGCATAGGGGTGCAAATGCTTTTCTTGGACTGCCAGCTTAGTATTACCATGGTGATAGATAATATGCAGGGTTACAGGATTTTGAAAGTGACTGAGCATAGGGAGGATTGCGGAAAAGATAAAAAATGAACAGGATTAAAGAAGGTAGAAGATGGCGATTGACATTGCGGTAAAATTTTTGAAGATTGTAGTTATCCAGGAAGCATAGAAAGGAGTTCCATTGACAGGAAGTGCAATAAAAGAAATTGTTAGAGTAGAAGTGATTGCTGCATTTAGCTATTTCGACAGTAAATAGATGGGACCTAAGTGCCAATCTAGAAGCACGCTTAAATTATTGTAGTCAGGCCACCAGGGATAAAAGCGTGTCAGAGCAGTTGCCATGAAAATATTTTTAGAAAAGATAGAGAGAAGCCATGCCACGTCGATGAGAAAGGGACTGAAGTTGAGATGCCAGCTCAGGATCAATTACATAACAGATCCTTCTTCGGATTTTGTCAAGAAACTTGAGATAAATAGGAGTGCCTGATAAGATATGGCTGCAGTATTCAACGCACGGATGAATGGTAGATTTCCAAATGTGCAAGACGGATTCTGAAAAGAAAAAAATTGACTTAACTATCCTTGCAGTAGATGCAGCAATTGATTCGATATAGCCGGTCCAGTTCATGTCAGTGGAAAACGTAAGGTTCAAAAGGTGTAGTGCCTTGCTCTACTGCAGTCTATGGCAGGCAGAAAAGCTTCCGAAATATCAAATGTTTGCCTGGGCACCTCGACATGGTGCAATGTTTAGGAAGCTTGTGTTGCTAGATCATTTACGACTGAGTAGTGAGTTCGATCCTCACTGGGTGCCCCCTACTTTCGGCCTTGTGCCACATCTAAGCAACGCCTCGGAAATCACAATCAGACGTTGAATTCAGACTGTTAGCAAGTGGACCTATTTTTATATAAGTTCCTCTATTCAAAGTTTCAAAATATGTACAACTTGCATAATAATTTAAAAATTTAATTAAATTTAAAAATATTCTTTTACAAAACCGATTATTTTTAACTATTTTTTTATTTTATTCTTTTAACCTTTAAGCGAGAATCGACTTCGACCCATAAAGTGTTGATAAGCCGTAAAGCAATCAATCAATCAACTCCGTCAGTTAGTACAACGCATAGGTCTGGATGACAAAGATAATTGCAATATTTATATTCATGGAATAGCAATCGCGCATCGGACAGTTATTGCTTTTATTGTCTGCGCCCAGGACCCGTGAAATTGAACTTTCAGATGAATCATAACTCTTAAGTTAATGAGTGAATAAGGTCCTTACGAGTTATAGGAATATAAAACACCCGTGGAAATACCCCAAAATGCATCATTAGATATTTCCTCAAAACAACGCTTTAGAATATTGCAATAAACACCGGAATTACGAACGCAGGTGATGATTTAAAGAAGTAAGGGGGTACTAATGAAAAGATTAAAAATTAACAATGTTTTCCATTCCACTGAAGCAGACGTTAAATGCCTGAATACGTTTATCGCCTTTGCTATCTTCCCTTTCTTTCTTTATTTCTTTCTATTACACACGCTTTCCTGTTCCCACAAAAACTAAACAACTTAGCAAACTATTTACATTGTTCGACTGTAGTCCTCATCTTTATTCTCATATTCACGACGTTTCGGCCGTTGTACGCTGCGGCCTTCTTCAGATGATATACGTTGTAATTTCGGACCGAACCGTTTATTTAGTCAACAAGGGTAGATTGTTCTCGTTCCACGTGCCATGCCTTTTCTGGATATCTCAGTTTTTAGTTTCCCTTTAGTAGCTCAACTCTCTAAGTTTTTGTTCACCTCTGCTGTGGCCAGGTATTGAACTCACAACTCTTTGGATCAAATGACTGGATTACTTCAACCAACGCTTTTATCCACTGTCTTCGTATATCAGCAGCGGAGAGTAAGGTCCACCCTGCACAAGGCCCGGGGGCCACTCTAGGTAGAGGATTACGTTAAGGGGTAGCTTATGTGGATAAAAGTGGAAGATAAAGAGTTTACTCTAGATTTGAACATGGTAAGGTTGTTGTGATCGGGGAAACATCCTCTTAGTTCTTTGTTCCACAGGGTTCACGGGAAGATGCTGTTTAAGTGGAACTTCTCGCCGATGGAAAACGGAAGGAATGGAGGGTGGTTTGCCACTGTGTAAGTGGCATGGCGGGTCCTAGCCGTGAAGGTTAAACCTGACGGAAGCGAAGTATGTAATTCGTCTGAGCACTTTCCATGGAAGTAGCGGTAGAACATTGACAGGTTTGACACATCCAGCGTGTGCGAGAGAGGTTGGAGGGTGGAAAATAATTCTTCTCCCACAAGGACCGTCCTGAGTATGACGATAAACTACATCCGCGTCCTGGGTATGACGATAAACTACATCCGCGTCCTGGGTATAACTATAAACTACATCCGCGTCCAGGGTAAGACGATAAACTACATCCGCGTCCTGGGTATGACGATAAACTACATCCGCGTCCTGGGTATAACTATAAACTACATCCGCGTCCAGGGTAAGACGATAAACTACGTCCAACAGCAAGAACTCTGATCTGGAGGTTTTGAGGAGCGTGGAACTACCTCTTAATTGCTGGTGTTGCTAGGTCCATTCTGACCCGGGGTGGTAACACCTGTTCGGGTCCCAGCTATGGACAAATAGTTAACACCCAAACCTGTGTAAAAATAGGTTTTAATACCAGAAATACTTTGAATTATAAAAAAAAATTTATTACCAGTAATAATTTTGAACAAAAAAATTTTATTATTGCAATACTTAAAAAATAATAATAATAATAATAATAATAATAATAATAATAATAATACCAGTAATACAAACAGCTATAGATTCTTTGAAAAAAAATTGGAGAATAGCACTCAGAATACAAAATAGTGCGAACAAAATATTACCAAGTGAGTAATTAAAAACAAAAAACCTTTTTACGAAAATAAAACCATCCAAGATTGTAAATTTCTTAAAAGAAGTTGGATTGTACTAAAAAAATATGAGTAATTGAAAAATGGTTCTGTTATGATGTTGATTTGGGGTTAGTAGAGACAAACGCCAAATAACACGTAACAATAAAAAGGGTTTTAATAGGTTGGTAAAAAGGTACAGAAATCGCCTGGGTAGTAAATAACTAGCTAGGCTATGAACTTCTCGGTCTATCTGTTTTTCCCATGTCAACTGACATGCCACTATTTAAAGTCTTTGTTCACAGACAAGTTCATCTTCCAGAGGGGTGGTAGGTCTCCGACACAACAGGTTCAAATATATATATGTATACATAGACTCTTTTTTTTTTCTTTTTTTTCTTTAATAAACTGTCGCTATGAATCTCTCTCAAAAATTTTGTTGGCATTAAGTGACCCACTGAGGTTGATATGCCATAAAACCAAACAACCAACAAATCTCCCACAAGGACTCGGGAATCTAGGCAAGGGACAGATAAGGTGTTATAGGGCATAACGCTCTTGCTAAAATACTAGCGGGAAACGAGTAGAATTATAATCATTTCCCCCCACTTTTTTTTTAACACCATCCCTAAATAAAATTCTGAAAATATTGACTGCAGGGCCAATGTGAATGTGACGGATAATTTCAAGTGGACAGCATTGCACCATGCGTGTCACGGCGGTCAGCTGGAAGTAGTCAAGTTGCTGATGGAACATGGCGGTGATATAAATGCTCTCTCCTTAAACGGGGGCACGCCACTGACCAGGGCCATCGAGAGTTCGGCTTTTGATGTCGTCCAGTTCCTGATTGATTCCGGAGCCAAACTGCAGACAGAAACCAGAAAAGGTAAGTCGATTTTTTTGTTTCTTTTACTCAACTCTCTTCCTCTGGCGGGTGTGTCACTGAGAAACCGGATGGAAAAATATAATTTTTTTTTAGCCAACTCGAACTGAGAAAATCTAAGGTATTTTCACCCTTCTTCTTCTATTATTTATTCCGTTGGAGCTTCCCGTATTTCACCACGGCTGTATATTTAAATGAGAGTTCTAAGAAATTTCAAAGAAAAAATTCGCTAGAAACAAGGAAAAATTTTACTATAAAATATGTGATATCTGTCCACCTGTCTGTTGGACGATCGCCTCAAAAGAAATACCTAATCTGTCATATATATATATATATATATATATAAAGAATGTATAAACATAAAAAAATGTCTTAAAATAATTGTTTTTTTTTGTACATTAGTTTAATATATATATATATATATATATATATATATATATATATACAATATAAAGTTTAAATGTGAGCTATATTTATGGGATAGTCTTCAATATCAGAGATAGAGCGTATGTAAAATTATAAAAGTGAACTAATAAAATTAAGAAAATAACAGAGGCGACGGGCTCTGTTTTATGCTAGACGCAATGGATAGGCGACCTGACGATTGATTAGCATGAAACAGCATGTAAAGGAAAATGTTGATTTTGAAAATATATATATATATATATATATATATATATATATATATATATTTTTATATATATATATATTATTAATATATCATATAAGATCATATATATACACATTGATAAATATATGTTTCAATATGTGAAATACACACAAACACACACACACACACATACAAAATATATATATATATATATATATATATATATATCAATATATATATATATGGAGAAAATAACAAAATATTTATATTTTTAATTTTGAAATTTTAGATGCAATTTTTTATAGATAGCAAATATTTAAATAAAAATCTGTTTTGATTAATTAAATTTACCAAAACAACATTTACCGGACGAAAATTTTCTTGTGAAGATTTCTCGGACATTCAGGCTGGTAAATGTTTTTATATGCTGTTTATTATAAAACAGTCAAATTTGTTAAATATTTGTATCTATAAAAAGAATTTATAAACATAAAATATGTCTTAATAATATATATATATATATATATATATATATATATATATACTTTTTTTATATATATATATATATTCATGAATTATTCATACAAAAACAAATGCAAAGGTTAATGATTTAATTGGCGAGAAACCCATCGTTTAAATAAAACAATTCAAATAATATATATAAAAACCCCGAACCTATTATGAATGAAAAGATCCTTGTTTCTATAAATTTCTGCTGCATTAGTTCTTATTTTTACTACAAGCTTTTGTCTGTTCCTACAGACATCATCAGGTATACATGATCGCCTAAGCGTGTATCACCCATGGCACATAACTGACTAACTGATAGCATGTACACGATAACGTGTTCAATCAATTAAGATCAAAGGACATTCTTGTTCTAACAAATATATATTTTGTTTTCTCAATCTTTTTTGTCCAATATACACCAAGGAGAAAATTAAAATATCACGGTAAAATACTTAAAGGCCTAACATTTAATTATCTGTCTATATTTCTAAGATGAGGTACTATCTACACTATTTACATTATTTGGACTATTTCCCCAAGGACACATGGCACAGTGGATACAGGCGTTAGTTAGATCCAGTGACAGAACCCAAAGATTCAAATGTGTTCAATGACATTGTTTAAGGCAGTGGAGAACTTGGAGAGGGGAATTAACAGGAGATAACGGATAACTGACATCCATTAAACATGGCACGTGGAACTAGAACAGTCTACCCCAGTGAGCGAAATAAACGGTTCAGTTCGACATTCCAACCACCTAAAGAAGGCCGGAGCATACAACGGCCGAAACGTTGTAATAAATATGGCGGCAAAGATGAGGACAATAGTCCGAATAATGTAAATAATAAACATTTAATTGTTATGAACTAAAACCATAGATTTTTTTTTTTAAATACACAAATCTGAACTTACTTTATTTCAATGATTCTATTTACCTATTTGTGAAATTAATCAGTGTGAAATCTGTGCCTGGTTTTTTTTTTTTTTTTGTTTTTTCTTTTTTCGTGATTTCTTTAATGTTTGGTCGAATTTGCAATAAGCAGACCTCATTTTTCTTTTTAATTAAGCGTACAATTTCTCATTTCTTTTTTTTATGTTATTTAAGGAAAGAAGCCTCATTGACATAAAACTTTTAAAATTGAAAAGCCTTTTTAGCCAATGATGAGAAAAAAGTTTAATAGTTATTCACTTATTCAAATACTAACGTTGTACCATTACTATTACACACACAGAACAATCATATATATATATATATATATATATATATATATATATATATATATATGGTCTGACGATTGCATATAGCATGAAACAGACTGTCGCCTCTAAGTGTTGACTTCTATGTTCACTTTTATATTTACACGTTCTATCTCTGATATTGAAAGAAATTTTTATTTAATAAATATAAGAGAAAGGTTAAATTCAGTCATATTTATTTTTATATATATATATATATATATATATATATATATATATATATATGACACTATTTCGCGTATACATTAAGATGATCACGCGGCACTTAAATATCTTAATTTACCTAATATTATCAACAGTAAGAATGAATTATTTTATCCGTCACATTGATTTGATTGTTTAAGCAAAATTTAGATGTGGTACAAGGTTAAAAGTATGGAGCACCCAATGAAAATCGAACATTAACTCAATTATAATTCATCTAGTGCAGTTTTTCTCATACTTTTTAAGCAACGGCACATTTTTTCAAATAAAAATATTTTATTATGCTTCTGCAATAATTTTTAAAGGGCATAGATATTAATGTTATGAAATAAACCCATAGATGTTTTTTTAATGCACACACAAATATGAACTTACTTTATTTCAATGTTTCTATTCAACTATTTGTGCAATTTATTTAGTGTGAAACCTGTGCCTGGTGCTTTTTTTCGTGATTACTTCAATGTTTGGTCGAATGTGCGGTAAGCAGACCCCCATTTCTTCTTTCTTCAGTCTTTCTCGCTTCTTATTTTGGATGTTATTTAGGGCTGAGTAGCCTAATTCAGATAAATAAGTTTGTGTGATGTCAACGAACACCCGTTGCCATTTTTGTAATTCCAACGAATACTCGTTGTCACTTTCGTAATGCTCGTTGTAGTAGAGACTTTGTAATCGCAGATACAACTATAGTAACGCCTTTAAACAATACCGGTGTCAGACGCCTTCGAATATTACTCGCTCGAATAGTACTTGCTCGATAATATTCGCTCGAAAAGTATCCAGCGAATAGTAATCCGTATAGTGATCAGTATAGAGAAATAGTGATCAGTATAGAGAAATAGTGATCAGTATAGAGAATAGCGAACCGTATAGTTGTTGTGGTAGGATCCACCTAATTTACATAGTGGAGTACCGACCATATAAATATGGGTTGATACCGGAAGACGAGGGGAGAAGTAAGAAGAGATCCAATCGAGAGACTCTGCCTGACTGCGATTAAGACAACCCATTCTACAGGAACAGTCTTCCCAAGAATATACCAAAACTAACTGTAAATATTGTGTACCTTTTCCTTGTTTCAATACATTTTGTTTACGTACATTATTATTATTCCATGCTTATCCAAGCTTCAACAATAGTAATAGAAGATAGTCTAGAAATGATGATCATTTAGACGTCACGCTACTTCCTACCTATGCTCTTCCCCCACGGTCACGTGATCTACTCAATTCAATAATGGGATCGTCTGTGTTTGCTCACTGGCGATCTATGTTCAAACTCAAGTGCCGGCAGCGCCACTTTATTTCTATATAACACTTCCCCTTTGAGATGACTTCCTCTGGAGTCTGTATTTCTTCAGTTTCGGTTCAATATTCAAATGTTCCGTTGCTGTTCTTTTTCTTTTAATGTACCTCCTTGGTTTACTAATTTCTAGTGGCTGGGGTACGTCAGACATGTCATCGGTACCCCTTTCCATCGGTACCCCTTTTCGTGGACTTACTAATCAGTGAAAACTACGTTTTAACTGATTAAGGTGTCGCTTATGATCCCACCTTTGTCCCTGTACCGTGTATTTCATTTTGCCGATCCGTTTTTTTTATAACGCCATCTTCCTAGAATTCCTTTTCACGGTGATACATCTTTAAAAATACCTTATCTTTAGGCTTGAACTATTTACTTATATTATTATTTCTTAATGTTCTTGCCTTGCATTCTGGTAATAATTTATTAAAAATGGACTTAAGCTTCCTGGCGAACATCAACTCTTCAGGTGACATTCCAGACACGGTGTTCGGATTTGGTGTTATTCTGCAAACACTCAGAAATTGTTGCAGCATTAATTCATCTGACACCCCCAACTGTTTAAGGCCCTTTTAAACATATCGATAAATCATTCCGCTTGTCCGTTTGATTTTGGGTGAGAAGGGGGAGTTGTAATATGTTCTATTGCTAATGATTTTCAAAATACTTAAATTCACTAGACGTGAATTGAGTCCCATTATCTGAAACGATAGAGTCCGAACCTTGCAAAAATCTCGAGTAGAAAACTTATCGTTACCGCAGTAAACGGTCTTCTACATTTTAATATTTCTGGACATTTAGTGTAACTATCGACTATCACTAGACAGTATGCTCTGTTTAACAATCCTGCGAAGTCCATATGCATTCTGGACCACGGCATATCGTTTTCGGCCAATCTTCTATGTCAGCATAACAAAATATCATCAACAATGGTGAATATCTTTGTTTAAATGTCCGCATAAAGACTCTGAAGATGACCGACTTGAGCCGAAAGCTTAGATCAAGGACCAACTTAATAAAAAATATCCAAATGTTGGACAATTTTTGTCTTTATTTTCACCCGAAAATTAAAGCAAACATACGAAATTTAGAACGGCTCCTGATCAGACATAAAAGACATTCATTGTCTGTTATATTTAACAATATATGTTTAAATAATTAATTTTTAATCCATATACTATATATATATATATATATATATATATATATATATATATATATATATATATA